ACTATTTTAAACGTATTCTGACAGCTGTGATTAATAAAAACAATTGTCATGGCTTTTATTTTTCACAGCCACCTACGCCTTATAGACTTATTTTGCATTGAAATGAAGCTAGGTTGATATGCTGTAATTGCAACACATTTTTATGCTGCAAATTTGATTAGGGAGTGATAAAGTTGGTGTTTTCTACTATATATTATCAAAATATTCATTGTTAATATTTTAAACCTATAACACCCTGCTACATTTTTATTATTTGTGATTGATAAGAAAAACCTAAGATTTCAATAGTTGGGCCAACTGAAGTGGGAAGGGGCTCGTAGAGAGTCAGAACGCGGTTGGTACCAGCCTCGACAAGCAATTTGAACCTAATTAACAAAATACATCAAAATCTGAGCGATGCTTGCTGAATAAACTCTTGAGATGACCCGACCACTGATATATCAAATTTCAAAAATCATCCTCATTTGCAACAGTCATATCCTGCTTCGAAAGAACAATAAAATCACTAACTGACAATATTTCATACTTTCGTACCTCAATAGATTTTCCGAAATTATTTAGATAGATACAATTACTATCCATGCCCTAAAGCCCGACTGCCTTCATCCGCCAATACAACGTATAAGCTCACGATCAAAGAGAGCAAAAAATAATCGTAAGCCATAACTGCTGAATTATCTCCTTATTGAACGTAATAAGTAGTTCTACGAAAGCAGCAGATAATTACCAGCTCAATTTTGCATGAAAATACCCGAACACCCACGTAGTTACTCGACGCACCATATCTGTACTAATTCTGGACCACCACGATGTCACGATTTTATCCTCATTTTTTCCTCAGATTTCATCATCGACAGTTTCTCTTCTCACGTCAATATATTCAGATAGTTCCAATGTCCGGAATTGCCGGGCTTTCGATTGGATGATTAGATTCTGAATTAGTTCAAAAATATGACAGGGCTAGGAAAATAACGTAAAAATTCTAGGAAGTCTTTCGTAAACGTATATTCATCTTCAGGCAGAAAGAGCTGTCCAAGATAGGCTAGGCTCCATAAAAAAAGTTTACCGCTCAAAATGAATCTGGAAACGGTCACAAAACAGTGGTAATATCACCAACAGGGGGTGACAGTTAGTAAATAATAGATGCTATGGGCTGCAGGTGCAGATGTAGGCCTCTAAATAATCTTGAACTGCACATCTGCAACAAATCAACCCCCTTTTTCGAGCTAAAAAATATATTTTTTGAAATTTTCAGACATTAACGAAAAAGAGTTTAGAAAAAGCGTTATTTATTAGATATTGAAATGGTACTCTTGTGATAGCTGATAAATTATCAATCGATTTAAAAAGAATTACGAAGCTTTCATTTTTTTGTATTTATTTAGACTCTTCTAATTCTTTTCTGCGTTACTGTCGGAACTGTCTTTTTTTGAGTGCTAGCTTGTCGATTTCAAAAAAGTATTAGCTGAGTGCCTAAAGTATAGCCTTTATCTTGGTGTCATGTCAAATGGTTCCGAGTTCCAGAAATCTTACAACGTTACCCGATCGGAAACTTCTTATTTTGACCTGCTCTTGTATAACGTTCTTAAAGAAAACTTTTGTAGTTACAAAGACATATTGAAGAAAGTTAGTTAGTCATTGCGCTTAGCTATGCAGAAAATCGCTTTTATCTGATCATGTAAATATAGGTCTTTTCACGGTTTTAGATGGTTTCGTCACAGTACCATAATAAATAAGTGAACAGATTAACTAGCTGTACCATTCACACTGCGTAAGCCGATCTTCAACGCAGCTGCTACTCGTTTTTGCACACACGAATTGGATGATAAAGGACCGTTGTTTTATTTATTTATGTCGACACCGTAGTAATACCAGCAGGCATTGCTATGTTTGTTATCAAAGATCAGCAAGGCGCAACTTGAATTGACGCCCGCGAGGAGCAAGTTGTCACACTAACAGAGACACGCATAAAGCGTCGTCCATCACACGAAGTGGCATATCTCATTTTTTCCAATTTTACAGGAGAGCGTTTTGAATATTTTCACGAGATTTGAGTTGTTGCTGATAAAAACGTATTATTGCTACATAATTGAATTTGTGAGTATATCTGCTCATGTTTACAAGCTTTTCAAAAAATGGGCAACGATCAACCCATTGTTCATTTTAAGTGTCCAAAATATCCAAAAAAATGGATACGTTATTTTGTGAAATTGATGAGTCGTAATTCATAAAATAAAGACTTTGTTACGTCCGTGTTATATTTAAGTGATGAAGAACAAAAACACATGGAATTAAAAAAAATGTTTCATTTCAAGACACAAAATGGGGAACCACCGTGAATACAGGGTTATCCAAATTAAGTGTCCACCATTAGTAACTTTGTTATTAGTGAAAATACAAAGTTGTTTGAATTAGCAAACTAGTAGCATTTTTAACGCTGGTAAAAATGAGAAATAAAAAAAAACAATTGAGAGTCGTTATTTTGATTTTTTTCAGTAAAATAACATTTTTTTGAATGGAAACCCCTGTATATTATATTTTTTTCTGTTAAAGCATCAAATTTTAAACAAAAAAGCTTACAATAACTTTTCTCCTAGGTTACAAATTGTTGAAGTTATGGCCTCCAATCTGAAACAATTAAATTGTATCGACAAACTTTATTTTCAACATCAACTTATAATCTTACAAAATACAATAACAATTTTTTTTAAAGAAGATGCTCGAAAACACCACCTTGTTCTTCAATACATTTTTGGGCACGTTTTTCAACTGCTCGAACTGTCTTAAGTATGGTCCTACCATCTATCTGGGTTATCTTTTCCCTAACTGCAGTCTTTAACGCGTCAAGGTTATCGTACCTTCGCTTGTAAATTTGGTTCTTTAAGTAACCCCACAAGAAGTAATCAAGTGGGTTTAGATCTGGTGATCTGGGAGGCCACTGTATTGGGCCATTTGTTCCTATCCACTGATCATTAAAACTAGTACTTAGAAAATGATAAGTACCTCTGGAGTTGTGGGCAGGTGCGCCATCTTGCTGAAAATGCAGATGATGTCTACTTATAAGATCCAATTCGTCTAAGAAATTAGTCAGAATTTCTGACATAAATTCCACATATCTTTCACCAGTTAGGGTTCCCTCATAAAAGAACGGGCCAACAATTTTTGAACAAATTATACCGCACCAAACGTTGAAACTGAAACGGACTTGTGGGCCTCTTGGATGTACTAACAAAAGATTTTCTCTTGACCAATAATGGTGGTTTTTTCTATTAAACATTCCAGAATTTGAAAAATTTGATTCATCTGTCCATAAAAGGTAACGAAAGTTATTTACATTTTGGCGACAGAAGCTAAGATACCAATGGCAAAAAACAAGTCTTCTCTCTGGATCCCCTGCCAAAAGCGTTTGAACTGGTCGGTACTTATACGGAATAAATTTGTATTTTGTTAAAATCCTTTGAACAGTACCATAACTGAAATTAGAGTCCTTGAGAATATCTGCTATTGAATTCTCACGATAAGCTTCAAAATATCCAATAACTGCAATTTCCGTGGCCTCGCTTATTATGAATTCTTTTTTTGCCCTTGTTTTAGCAAAAACATTTTCGTTGCCCCTAAATTTTCGATAAAGTCTCAGAAAATATCGTTCATACGGTTGAATGCGAGCGGGATATAATTCACTGTAGTGTGCTCTCAAGGAGGATTTTCTGCACACTAAATAGCATTCTAACATATCACACTTTTCTTCATGGGAGAACATTTTTCTTTAAATTAATGACACAATAAAGCTTATAAACAAGTATTTACACTAATGTTTGACATTATTTGATTTTATCATTGTTTTCCAAAGCCTTCTAGTTGCGAGTATGTCCAGTTTAACAATTTGTCGCTTATCTTAATGCTGTCAAATCGCGAACGCCATGTTGTTTTCATAGCCGTCTTAATATTATAATACTGCAAATAATTAAAAATATTTATCGTTATTTTGACTTTATTTCTGACTTTAGCGGAAAAGTCATTATGAACTTTTTTGTTTAAAATTTGATGCTTTAACAGAAAAAAATATAATATACAGGGGTTTCCATTTAAAAAAATGTTATTTTACTGAAAAAAATCAAAATAACGACTCTCAATTGTTTTTTTTTATTTCTCATTTTTACCAGCGTTAAAAATGCTACTAGTGTGCTAATTTAAACAACTTTGTATTTTTACTAATAACAAAGTTACCAATGGTGGACACTTAATTTGGATAACCCTGTATACTGGAGAAATAGGTATACGCAGTATCTAAGACCATTTAACGCCCTATAAAAGTTGAATATGACAGCACAAGCAACAGACTCACACAAATAATGATGATATAATAATATCTGTTAAAGATGCAGAAAATAATTAGTGATTCATCTAGTACTCATGAGGAAGATTTAAGTCTTTGATATTCTTCTTAAAGCCTTGTCCAGGAAGGGCGAATTCGCCGCGAAACGTTTAGCGCGAAATCATTCGCGCGTTAGTGAGATACTTGACATCAATACGTCGCGTCCACAAGCATCGCGCGAATTCAAAATACGCTCGTAAATCGCGTGCACTACTCTCGACTCGCGCGTATTGCGCGCGAGTCGAGATACTAGGGAACGCCTTGTTGCGTCCAGTTAACGCACGAACTCTAGAGCGAGTGCACGTATCGACGGAAATGGAGCGCCAAAATTTTGACACGGAATTGTTTATAGACGAAATAGAAAAAAGACCGGCGATATGGGATTTGGAATCACCTGATTATGCCAACAGGATTTTAAAACGTAGGTCTTGGGAAGAACTGGTGTCAGTATTTTCTGATAAAGATTAGTCCGAGGAAAAAAAGAAAGATTTAGGTACGTAATTATTATTAATTTATTGATTAGTAACAAACAAAGAAAATTAGATCATTTTTTCTTGCCACGGCAGTCGACCTTCCTTCATGAAATAATCAGCGAATATATCCCTCGTGTTTCGAGACCTTACACCAGGTCGAATTGTAGTCGTACTCAGACCATCTAGAGCTGTTTCGAACAATGTGTCTTCGTATCTGTATCCATCTCTTAACCTGACGTAATTGTGAAGAACACAACAAGCTTTAATTATGTTTTCCGCAAATTCAATATGTACATTGAGTGGTTTGTGAAATATTCTCCATTTGTTTACCAGGATTCCAAAACAACACTCAATATAACGTCTTGCTCTAGAGAGGCCGTAATTAAATATTCGTTTTTCTTTGGTTAAATTCTTGCCGCAATATGGTCGCATAATATGTTCTGATAAGCTAAATGCCTCATCTCCAACTATAACATGAGGTAAACGTGTTGTACGAATTTCTGAGACTGGTTTTGGTCCCGGAATGTTCAAAGATTTTTCCGTGAGTTTTTTGAAGAATGTGGAGTTTTTAAAAATCGTTGAATCATTGCTCTTCCCACATGCTCCAACATCTATAGAGATAAAACAATAATTTGCATCACATACGGCAAGCAGCACAGTCGAAAAAAAATGTTTATAATTGTAGAACATAGAGCCGGAATCTAAAGGTTTTATAATTCTAATATGTTTCCCATCAACTGCTCCAATGCAATTAGGAAAATGTGTATATTTTTCGAATCCTCTTGCAATTTCCATCCACTCTTCTGTCGAAGGTTGTTTTATTACTATATCTTTTAACTTATTCCAAATAACATACACAGTTTTTTGAACGATGTCAATTAAAGTTGATTTTCCTAATGTATAGGCATAATGTAAGTCAGCAAAATAACAGCCAGTTGCTAAGTACCTGAAACAAAATTGAAAATTATTGTGAAATTGTTAATTTCAGGTAATACTCTTCAAAAAAGGTGGAAAGGCCTTCGCGACACATTTGTTCGTGAAATGAAAAAAACAAAGAATGCACCATCAGGCTCTGGAGCTTCGAAGATTCAATATATATATATATATATATATATATATATATATATATATATTCAACGTCTTATGTTTCTCGAAAGGTCAGTATGTAATAAAAAAACAGAAAGCAATATTCAAGACACCTCAGAAAACTCAGAGACAGGTAACGAAGAGTCTACACCAGATGCAAGAGAAGACATAATGAGGCCGCCGAATCAAAATATTAAAAGAAAGAAAATGACTGCCGCTGATGCTGAATTCCTGAACATAATTAACAAAAATATAAGCTCTAGGAATCAACAACAGCCACTGATTTCCAGCGTAATGGAAGGTAATGATGACAAACTGTTCTGCTTATCTTTACACAAAGAATTACTTAAGGTACCTGAGGCCAATCGTATAGCAGTAAAAATTGAATTAATGAAAATTTTGCAAGCGGCTCAACAATCTTCGCAATCAACTGTGTATTCAAACAATTCGTATTCGTACTTTTATAACAGTTCGGCTTCATCTTCAACTTCAATTCCGGTTCGATACCATGCACAACCTACAAGACCAAATGAATTTACTTTTCAAGAATACGACCCAGAAACGCCACCCGTAACAACTTGGCAAGGCCGCAATTCTAATTCAGTGCCAGGATCTTCACAGGCAGCATTATACGTAAATTCTCCATCAACATCATCAAGAGATTCTCAGGATAGTGAATGTCTTAACCTCTTCCAAAACCATGACATTGTTTAATTATTATATTTAATCTCATACTACATTTAGTTCGTTTTTATTAGTAATAATATTTTTTTATTTTAAAAGACTGTGTTAGTAATATAAGAGATTATGAATAAAACACTACTTACCTTAAAGTTCTCACGAGTTTCTGTTCTGGTGAAACAACATCCTCGCGCGGAACATAATTTGCACGTGGCAATAAATCTTCTCCAATTAATAAGAGTAAATCATCAAACGATTTCACGGACATACGAAAGTAGTTAAAAAATTTCTTCTCATGTTGTCTTAATTTTGGATACAAAGTTTCAAACATACTATGGGTCATTCTATCATGAAGAATTGGATGTACTAAATACATTCTATTTTCCCTCCGTTTCTGTCTCTTCCAGCGACGGTAAGCTAACCACAACGAGACCGCTTCGTTCAACTCCATGTTTCGTACTGAATTCCTCCCTTAATGCTTGCGCGTTGGTACGCTATGTGTGGACGCAACGGTAGCGCGAAACACGCGCGAGAGAATCGCGGCGAATTCGCCCTTCCTGGACAAGGCCTAACGAACTAATCGTATATCTCCTTTACACAGCAACTTCAAATCAATATATTTTTTTGGCTCTGCACTCAGAACTTTGAGGGAAATAAATATCTCTTGACTTGTTTTTGCTTTTTAGTTTGAAAAAGATGTATTCGTGCTGAATGTGAAGTTAAAAAGATAGATAGGTCACAGTGCGTATAGTGATAAAATAAAAACTACAATTTTACGAACAGGTGTAACTTAGATAAGCCATACGCTGTAAAATGATATGTATATTTTATTATTTGACAAATTTAAGAGTTAATCTCCCTCGTGAAATTTAATTTCCTATTAAAATGAGATAAGTCTAATATTATTTTTCTATAACTCTGCAAGTATTAGAAACTGACTTATGCCACTTCGTGATATTGAAGAGCAACCTTTTTTAATTAATAAAATCCAATTCTCAATTCAATTTTCGTATTTTTTGAGATACGCCACTTTGTGTTATTGGCGACGAAATGTGGAAGACATACGTTAACGACATAATTTCCATGGTTTGTCTGTGAGCTTCCATAAACTAACGTCCACACAACTGTTACTCGCTCTTGCACATACATTATGAATCAAGTGATGGAGAATCGTTGTTTTAATTCACTTTCTGAGAATGCTTGAATAAAATTAAATACGGACTGTGGACATTGTAGTTGTATATTCAGGCATTAATACGTCTTATACGGAAGATGAATAAATGGTAAACTAACATCGCACGCCCACGATTTGTACGTTGACGAGAAAACTGTCAAGGTGGTGAGACAAAACTAAATAACGTATGTCTTAGAGAGTACAAAAACAATATAGAGGCCGGTTGCAAAAACAACTATAGTTCAATTCTGCTATTCTGTCTTCACATTTTTTCCTCGTGAATGTTTCAGACGTGAGCAAAATTATCTCAAAATTATACCACACCGGCGCTATGACCAAACAACGTGACCTTTAGAGACACCTAAAAAAATGGCTCGGATATTTTAATTATTCTTTCTCTCTGTTCCAAGATGAATTCCGAGAATAGCCCGGGAGTAGCCTTAGATAATCGCCGCGCCGCCGAAAGTATAAATTCCAATACACAGTAGCCCTATTTATCTAAAAAGTGTATCGTCGCATGTATCAGTGTGGAACAGCGTCCTCAGAGACAGCCAACATCCATTAACGGAGATATCTGGGAACTGCCAAGGCATTGGTGTAACTGATGCCGGATGAATTAAGGCACATTCACGGTTATCTTGTAACCTTTTTGATATAAAGGGCCCATACTTTTGTTGCAATACTTAGCTACAAAACTAACAACTCTAACCCAACTATCACCACATTATTTCCAGCATATGACCCGCTTATATGTACGGGGTCCGGCTATGAAATGACCCATCCTCTAACTTTTTTATGTTACCTTCTAGAAGAAAAAAATATTTATTATACAGGGAAAAAAGTACTAGATTTTAGCTTGAGGTTGTATTAAAAATTGTAAAAAACGAAAGCTAAAATCTAGTACTTGTCCCATGTATAATACACAATTTTTTTCTGTGACGGGAAAAACGACGATTTAATATTGAAAAATTATATTTCTACAATATTTAAGTCAGAAAATTATCGATGCGAAATTTGAATTTCGAAATTAGTAGGCTATGTTGTACTTATAGCCCCAATTAGACCTGCGTTGTTAAGGAAACTTTTGAAGTAATCAAATAGCTGACAATTTAATTCTGTGATTTGATTTAAAAATTGTGAACTTAGTGGTTGTTTACGAGTTATTTTTAATATTATAAAGTAAAAACTGTGTAATTCAGAGTTTTCTTTGACTCCACCCGAATTAGTTGAAGTAGCCAAAGTAGCGTCACAAAAATTATTGCCAGCTAAGTCGCGGAAAATTTACGAAACCGCGTATGCAAGATTCATGGAATGGAAGATGAAAAAAGATGAAAAAAAAAACATGCAGTTCTTTGTCGGAGATGGTGTTATTGACTTATTTTTCGGAATTTGCACAACAACGAAAGCCATCAACAGTGTGGTCGAATTGTTCAATGATTAAAAGTATGTTACGATCCAATAATAATGTAGACATTTCAAAATATTTCAAACTAAGTACATTTCTGAAACAAAGTGGTAAAGGTTACAATCCCAAGAGAGCTGCGATTTTTACGAGTACCCAGATTAGTGATTTTTTAAATAATGCCTCCAATGAAGTTCATGGCATGGCTAAGGTTGTTGTTGTATTTGGGATTGCAGAAGCTTGTCGAATTTCTGAAATCAGCCAGGTAACATTAGATGATATTGAAGATTCGGGAACGATAAGAACAGTGCCTAATTTTCTTCAACTTGAAAATGCTAACTCATGTACAGGTTATTCATTTCGAAGATCGTCTGCTACACTTTTAGTTGAATCTGGGGGAGACTTGATGACACTAAAGAAACATGGCGGTTGGAAGTCATCAACGGTCGCTGAAGAGTATGTTGATGTATCGGTAGCACACTGGACAGAAATAGATTTAGAATGTATGGTAGTGCTGGAATAACACCACCCACTTGCAAGTACATCAACGGGAGTTGTTATGACAGAAAAACATATAATTTCAACACAAGAAAATTTGACTGTTTACCCAATAGTTTAAGTAACGTGTCGTTCATGCCATGGACATTTAATAATTTTACTTATGATATAAAGGAAATGTAACTTTATTGTGAAATAAAATATTCTAAAATTAAATATCTACCTTTGCTTATGTGTTTATACAATATCCGGGATAAAAGTACTCATTTTTTTCCCGGGGAAATAAGTAATTTTTGTTACCAGTCAATAGAGATAAAATGTCAAACTTTTATCCCTTCACAGAGAAAAAGTTATATCTAAAAGTTATAGGCTCTAATCCGAAGTCTTACAGGTCATACCTTTTTGTATACCGGGAGTCTTGGTTGTATTTTTCAATTGGAACACCCATATTTTCAGCTAAAACGATAGTCCCTTTTTCTCTGATTCCAAATGCATATTGTTTGTTAAGCTTACTTTCATTGCTTTAGTAAAAATTTGTGTGTCATATAATCATATGTATTCCGGCCCTATGCTAGACTGCTTAAGAGGCTAGATGCAAACTGGTTCTAACTCGAATACACATACTAATGGAAACAAGTATGACTAGCCATATATATTTTGAAAAATACAGTTTTATTCGATAGCACTTTTCTGACATTACATGAAAAACTTCATATTAGGCGCTATAACCTTTTTCTTCTGGAAGGTCACATAAAGTTATAGAGTGGAGTCAATTTATCGTCGAGTGTGCTTCAAAATCGGGCAAGAATGACTGGCAAAAGTGTACGCATCCCAGCGGCTTACATTACTTAGATTACATTTCATTAAGTAGGTTTCTGACTGTTATGTAGTCTAGCAACTCTATACAGAATGCTTCCTAATTGACTGTCAGTATTTAAGGAGGCGATTTTTGGGTCCATTTTGATGGCACGCTATTGAGTTCACTTAAAATATGAATCATTCTTCAAATCCCTAATCATTTCTAAACAAATTTGATTTTTTCAATCGGAGCACGGTTATCGCCTACAAAAATTAAAACCGCTTTTCTACATGATCATAATAACATCGTTAACATAACAATGTCAGAGAGATACAAATCTTATTTTTTTAGGTGAAACAAATTTGATCACTTGATTTTTTTCCTTTCCAAAACAAGAAGATACTTATAAATACACTGTAGCGGATACGATCGTCATTTGTTTAGTTATCTTATCAGTTGCTTGAAAAAATACATAACTTGAGGATTTAAACACTGCCATTTTGCTCAGTTTTCTATTAGATTTGGAATATATTTTATAGTTTTTCTGCAAAAGTGCTTCCCATTTTTGTTGGGACGCCCTGCATCGATCTGGTAACATTGCTCAACGAATACAACTACAAACACTAAAAAAAATTTTAGCCTCATTCAGAGAAAAGTAGCAGCTGTAAATCTTTGGTATCTTAAGACGTTCTTTCTGATTTTGTAATATGATTAATTTGTCTTAAAATTGTCAGGCTTATTCAAACCCGAAAATCAAATACTTTTTCCGATATTTGATAAGGTATTAAAGATCTAGGATACTCCTGTCCATTTTTTCCGTAAAGATTCTCAAGCTACGTTTTACCTTTACTAATGAGATTTTGATAGCTGTATAGACTCTCATGTGCTCAGTTACTATTTAACTAAACTATTTTGTGGCTAACTTTGTGAAAAATAGATCCCTCAAAAATTTATTTTTGGCTACACCTATGGCGTGTATACCAAGTCCCGGACTCCAGATGAGAAAGAGATGATACCACCCGTGACAAAGTGTCCAGATCTAATTGCTTTATTCAATTGTCTAAATTTTTTGATAGGTCATTTGTTTTGAGCTGTTATGTCCGCTTATACAACATTTGAGAGCGTTCTACGAACTTTGCTACGTTGATCGGTCACACACTTGTAACTATATCAAGTAGTATGTTAGATTTTTCGTCAGAGAACGCACTCTGTAACTAACAAACTCTTGATACTAGAAACTTCCAGTTGACACAACAATAAGGCAAAATTTAGCCAGTTGGCTAGTCTATGTAAATACGAGCCCCTTCCCACTTCAGTTGGCCCACTTCAAGATTTCTACCAAAATATGCCTTTATAAACTAAATATGACGAAACTATTTACTTCTAAAACAATTTATTTTCTCAAAAACATTTTAGATACCTTGTTGACACCTAAAATCTTAGATGGAAAGGGGGGTCGAGGGATACCTTATTTTAAAGGTCTTTCAATTCCCTTTATAATGATGTAAAATACATGAGCTTCAGTTCAGTATTTTTGAAGATTTATTGATTTAAAGCTTACAGTAGACTTTAATAGGA